GGAAAATTTTGTAAGAAAAAAAAATCAAACTTAAAAAAAAGTAGAGGTTTTCTATTAACGATAAAAAAAAATTAACTTACACTAAATATTTAAAAAATAGAAGCCAGTATCTTGAAAAAAAGATGACATACTCATAATATGAATCCAACTATAAAGAACAAAAGTAGTTAACATATATTTATTCATTGTCAAAATATATTATAGCAACTGAATAATTGTTACCACAATTCAACTTCTGACTATTCTTTCTTGACATTTTTTTGTCTGTAAACTCCTTCTTCCACCTTCTCAATATATTTTTAAAATATATTGTTAAAACTTTAGATTTAAGAAATTTTCCTAATATATTATAAGTTAAATATTTTGTTATATTTAATATTTAATAGAAAATCGTGTCATAGTTTCCTTATCTCCTATGCTATTTAATATTATCAAAACTACCTTACAATTAAGAATGTTTCCTAATTTATCCAATTAATGTAAATGTTGATGTGGACCAATAGAATTGTGTTTTTAAATCTTATGTTTGATAAGGATTACTTTTCCAACGGTAGTTAGGTGAAACATGTTTGAAGTTAGTTTATGGTGGTATTATAACAATAGATATAAACAAAAAATATTTACCATATAGGTCTTTGTTCATGTTGGATTAAAAACTTGTGAGAAGACACCATGTAGCCACCATCAAGTGGCCACCATCGATGACCTTATACAATTTTGCTAGCAGGGTGAATTAAATTAAAAACTTGTGAGCATACACTATGTAACTTGTCTTGTTATTAATGGCTAAAATATTTTTTTTATCTTGTAGATTTCACCGGGTTTGATCTTTCCCTTATAGTAGCCTATTCGGTTTACCGTAATGAATGCTTGGATCAAGGTTGACTGCATATATTCATGTTAGAAGATCTTTAGTTATGATTTATTAAAACGTTTAGTTATGATATATCTCACTATATATAGAAACACGAATAGTAATCATTAAATAAATAATGGGATTGTAAGGATAAATAAGCATCAATTAAACAAAGTTTTGTTCAAGGAAGAGTTTAGGACTTGAGACACAAGTATGTCAATTAACAACAAAGATAAGTCTTAAACGCTGCAGATATGATTATGTCAAGTATCTCAATGGTCAAATAACCCTGATGATGAGAATTATGCTAAACGTAACAATTATGTGACAGGTTTTATATTTAGAAATAAATCAGTTTTTGATTTTTAATTACATTTTAGTCGATGAGCAATAACTCGACACCCCATAAGTAAGCCACTTTTTTTAGGGTTACGTGCCTCCCAAAAGTGGATGACCCTGAAAACAATATCATTGTTAGTAAAATCTTTTTCAAGATATCGTCAAAAACTAAGCGTGGAAAAACATGGATGGAAAGGAGAAGAAGCAATATTTGGTGGTACTAAAACACTCAAAGAGCTCTATTTTAAGCAAAGAAGAACTCTACTTAAGCTAAGAATATGTGGGGACGAAGTGCTTATATAGAACCGAGAATTAATTTCTTTTGGTAAAGTTTTAACTGTAACATTTGTATTTTGGTTGAAAATATTTAATTTTCTCGATATGAATGATTGATCTGTATAAAATTTTGATCGTTTCATGTGTTATTTATAGTTTAGATGTATACTTCACAATGAAAAAAAATTCATAATCTCTATTGTAATTATATTATATTTTGTGGATCGTTGGGAATTTTTTTCTAATCTCTATTGTAGTTAATTGAGATGAAAATAATATCTTATTCTATTGGGATTATTTTTCTTTTTGTAGAAATTAATTCACAGATTAGAAATAATTGAATATATCACCTCGATGTTGGATGTTTTCAGAATGAATATTTTTCCTAAAATCTTCTGGTAAACTAGAAATAAGCCTTCTCCCCCATAGTTCCAATGATTTTGAGGAATGTAGAAGAAGAAAACGATTTCTTAAGATATCAAGTAATGTTTAGTGCAACTTAGACCATTAATAATTGATTAGGAGCATGTTTAGTATTAAAAATAGTTGGGTTTTTGAAAAAGGAAATAACAGAATATCTGTATTTTTCCTAAACTTGTAGTAAAATTGAAATAATCACGTTTTTTTTTAATATTTAAGACTTTTAAATTAAGGAAATTTTTCATAATATATAGTATCTAAAATTGAAATAGGATATTAAATCCACAAAAACGGAAATTACTTGAAATTATGAGTTTATAAAATAAGGAAATCATGTCTTATTTTTCAATTAATAACAAAAACAAAAGTAACATAATTCTAAACGTTGACATGGCACAATACTATTGCTTGATTTAAATCTTATGTGGACGCTTTTAGGAGTTTATAGCCTCAACTTTTATATAGTATAGATATCTTATATGATGATTGGTGTTCACGATTAGAAACATGGAACATGTGTATCCATGTGAAGGCGACAATTTCTACATACACAAATACAAATACAAATCTCTGTTTTTACATAATAAACGAAATTAAACTAACAAAGAACATAAATAGTTTAAGTATTATATGAAGCCACTCTTGTTATCCATTGACCTTTCGCTTGATCAAAGAGACCAACATTTGAACCCCATCCACCTCTTATATGGCCACTGCTTTCCTTCTTTTTTTTTTTTGGCATATCCACTTGCATCTATCATTTTAATACATAAAGTCATTCTTCTATTAATTGTTACTATAGTACATGTAGGTCCATTTTCGTATAATCAGTTTAAAATATTAGCTGAATAATAGTTTGGTAAAATTAAAAAACTTAGTAATCGATTAACATTGATCACTGATTTCGAGTAATAAAACACTTATATAGTAAAGAAATCTTTTTGTATATATGATAACCAAGACAACATCGTTAAATAAATATATAATCTGCAATATTTTGTTGTCAACAATGTAAACTGCACTATATATAGTTGCTAAATTAGAAAGAAATCATTCAAGAGTTTCATTCCATAAATGGTACCATGCCTTTGATGATTTTCATTTTTTAATAAAAACTATTTATGACTTCTATGATTCATTGTAACTGGTGAACTTATACAATCATATCATAAAATATATATACAAATCTGAGTGTATGTATATATCATTGTCCAC